ATCTTTACAGTGGCACTGATTAGAAGATGAGAACATATCATAAATATTTGTTACAGAAATAGGGAATAGAGCTAAACACTGGTGAGTCATCTTCACAGTGGCACTGATCAGAAGATGAGAACATATCCTCTACCTATTCAACATCTTTCAAGTGAAAGGGCAGACAGCATAGTTAGGTATCATGTTGCAAGAATCTTCAAAGCCAGAAGACATATACAATATAAAGTGTTTCCCACTCCACTCTCCCATTCTCCCTTGCTCTCAGCTTCCTTCAGATGTTCCTACTTTTCCAATTTTCTCACTGTTAAATTCAGATTCTCTAACACAGTGTTGTAAATTAGAACTTTCTGTGATGATGGAAACGCAGCATTATCTGCACTGATCTGGTAGCCACCAGTATTACGCATTTCAAGTGCAACTGAGAAACAGAATTTCAATATTATTTCATTTTAATTGCCACATGTGACTAGTGGCAACTATATTGAACAGCTCAGCTTTAAATGGTCTAGTTCTGTTTCTAATAATAGCTGCTAAAATCACAGTGGCAGCATTGGTAAGTAAGGAAAATGAGTAGTAAGGGAGTCATTCCAGAGTTTTGTCATAAATTCTACTGTTTTTCAATTTTTATTGTGAAAAAAAGTAAAATTAATCTCCCATCTTAGTCAACAAAAGTACAAAGACTATGGCTATCATTCTAACCCAAAACTGGAGAAAAATCGAGTTATACAAGTCATTCTGCAGTTCATATCTAATAAAATGCATCTAATCAATTTGAAGCACCTAATTGCACCTATCAAAAGCACCTAAATGCACCTAAATTTTCACACCATTTAGCATCTCATGTTTTAGGCTTCATCTTGACTTTCTGTGAGTCATCAAAAACTGTTTCACATCTTAGAAATTCCTAGGGAAAAACTGAAGTTACCTGGGCAGTGGGAAAAGTTATCAGTGTTCAATTAATAATATCCTCAACTGTTTAGCATAAGCGAATCATCCTAAGAATAAAAGCACTAGAATTGGATCTATTTATCACAGTTTAAATCACTATTACCGTGGCCAAGCAAGATAGCCATAACTAGAATTCTAGGATAGAACCTACAGGTTTTTCTCCCTTTCCATGCCATCTTTCCAAATAATTCAAGGTGTTTTAGAAAAAAAAAAAAACAAACAAACACGCCTTATAAATGTTTGCAGAGTCTTACCACCTAACATTCATTCCAAGTCTTATACCAATTTCTCTAAAACTTAAGTCAATATGTGGCATTACTTTCTGTGTTAAAATTACCTACCCAAATCCCTCTTATCTTTTGATCGCTCAATTGTAGCACGTCTTGTTCTGGAGAGCATATACTGTTTTTTTTCCTGTTTTAAAAATGTTCCAAAGAATTTAACGGTCACGAAATAAAAAGCATTACTATTAGATTTCAAATTGGGCGAAAGCCCTGTATGGTCATGTCTATGACAGAGTTTGCCACGACACAAAAACTTGGCAGAATCTCTCCTCTGACTGCTAATCACACCTATAATGCTCAATACCTGGCATTGTGTCCTGGTCTCATTTTCATTTGTGTTTTTGACAGCAGAACTCCAAAACAATTTTATTCTCAATTTATGCCAGGGACAAGAGGCACTCATTTGACAATCTATAATATTTGATCTGGACAGGATATCCAAATAATAAAAAAAGCTACCTAGAATGTTTGCTAATCATAGTAGAAATGATTTGGGCTTTTTCCCAGAATTCAACAGAATTACAGTATGGAATGTAATCAAGTAATATAAAGACATCAGGTATATGACTTCTAAACTCTTTTTTATGCAGAGCACAAGCTTTCCCTGATATATTTCCTTTCTTTCTCAAAAGTAAAAGGTAAAAACTACACCAAAAAGGCATATAATTGTCCAACTACTGAAAATATATTTACTTCTTCAATATTAAAGGAAGGCTCACTAACTGTTTTTCAAATCCAGTGACATAATTTAGTTTAGCCTCTGACATACCAGGTATGCATAAACAAAAATTTCTCCATATGTCCCAAATATAACTTCCATGTGATACTAGTTTAAAAACTACATTTTTCTAGTCAGCAAAAAAAGAAAAAAAAATTTTATTCCTTCTAAAAGAAACAGTCTATTGTAAACAGTGATATTCCAGCTCATATCAACAGGAGGCATGTGTGTTTGGTATTAGAGATTTTTATTTCAGAAGACAGACGTTTTGTCAGCACTGCAACCAACAGATAATAAAGTTAGCATGACTTTGTTTCTGCTTTAGCCCTGGTTTTAAGAGATTTTATACCTAAAAAAGAAGAATGGAAAAAAATTGAAAATAAAAATCCCTGCCATATTTGAAAGAGTTAAGTGAAACTGTGGTCAACCTTTAAATAACAATGTATTTCATACAAAATGGAGAAAGTGTTCAAAAAGGGTTTTTATATCTACAACAATCCCTTGAAAACTCTCACACTCGGATCTATTCTTCCACATTCCTACAGCAGTTACGTAGATTTTTTTTAATAGAGGCCTGCATTTGAATATATATCCATTTGTAATTATTTTCTCTTTCCTTCCCACATGTTTTACCACACCTTCCAAGAATTAAAAATACAGGACTTCATTTCTGCTCAACAGTAACTGCACAGTCACTTAAAGAGTATTTTTTTAACACCTGCTGAAATGCGTGACATCTCCTCACTTTCTCAGTTTTAAACCATGTAACACTGTATTTGGACACTACTGGCAGGAATGTTTAATGGAAAAGTATTACTGTTACTCCATCAGTTAATTTTTTTTTTCTGGTTTGATACTATCATAGTACAATCACCACATTAAATTCCTACAACTGTTTGCTGTCAATAATCTCAAACGAACTTTATGGACACACTATCCCAACTGGCATCCTGATTAGAGGAAAAGCACTTAATACATATTATGTATTATGTGTTTTATGGATAAAGAAACCACAACAGCAAGCAATTTACTCAATATGACAATCAGTTGAGATGACATCAGAACCTTCATTTCTCTACTTTCTATTTCAAGTGGAAACTAAAATTACTTCGTGAATATTTTTCAAGAGATCCACAAACACACAAAAAAAGTTTTAATTATCAGCAAATGAGACACACGCCTCCTGAAATAAGGTCACCTTCTCCCTAAGAGAACCTATTCAAATTTTATTTGTCCTCCATAATATTTTCACTATTCCCTACCTAAAATCTTAAACAGGTGTAACCACTTGCCTTACGCAGTATTTTCTCACTTTGCACAGCAAATATTTTCTTTTGTGTAGGACACATATAATCCTGATTTCCCCCTTTTATATAAATATACTATGTCATGTCACCAAGTATACCATCTATATTAAGAATTCACAACTAACAACAATGATCTCTGCTTAGTCAATTTCCTATTTGCTTCACTTAAATCAGGAACATTTTAGGCAAAATTATCCTTTTCCCTTTTATCACCCATCTAGTTTCTTTTTCCCCTCAAGTCTTGGAACTTTGAAATATCCGAAATATTACTAAGTACTCATTTGTCTGATACCACTTCTCTTTCAACTTTTTGCAACAAACTTCTCAACTTCATTCCCTTTCATTGGTTCTGAAAGAGCTTTACTGCACATATTATCAAAAATAACTCAGTGAACATTTTTTGAGCACCAATAATGTTCAAGGAAATCATTTCAAAATAACAGAGTGCTCATTAAGACAGAAGCATGCCCTGGATGCTGGAGAAGAACTTGGTCCTAGCTAGAGGCCAGGAAAAACATTCTCCAGCAAGCAGCTCTTTGGCTAAATCTTTCAAGACCACAACAAATTAGGCGAGGGAGGAAAAGGCCAGAGTGCATTCAAACAGAAGGAACAGCACATGTAAAGACAGAGAAATTAAATAGCACTGAGTACGAGAGAACTTCAAGCCATTCTGTATTATCACAGTGTTGAATGACAGGAGGAAAACAGTGGAAAATGAGGCTAGAAACGTGGATTGGGGTCAAGTCACAGTTTGCCTTGAACTTAGACACTAAGTAAACGGGTCTGTCTTACAGATGCTACAAAAATTCTCCCATCACCCATTAACTGAGACAGGAATATTCTAGTTTTCTCTGACACAAGATCATCTGTGTAGCAAAAATACTAAGATTATCCTGAAAACTAAAAATTAAAATATTTTATCAATAAACATTAATAAACATCTACATAAATGAGTTCTTTTCCAGTTGCTTCCTGACTTTGAGAATGTCTACAAACAAAATAAGAAATTCTCTCCAAATATATGTCAATAATCAAACTTTGTAAATCCATAATGCATAAAAGTAACTATTTTTATGTAGTACAATTATTAAACTATAATGAGACATGCAGGTAACTGAACATAGTTTGAAAAACTGTGTGCTACACAAGTATAAAGTATTCATATTATGAAGAAAAACTTAAGTCCCACATAGAATCTTTCACATGTATGTATTTGTGTGTATCTCCAGAACACTTTTTCCAAGTTTTCCTTTTTTTTTTCCTTTTGGATGAAAGGCAATTTCATTACACATCAATAAACTTCTTCGCCAAAGCTTTGTTTGGAAGTGGGGAAAAGGAAAGGGAAATTTTATTAAATGGTAAACCTATCAGCAATTAGAAATAATACTTTAACCTCAGAAGTAATATTAAAGCCTCTACCAGCACTTAAAATCTACAAAATAACTGTGCCCATTAAAAATTCTAGTTCTTCCTTTTATGAATATAACTGCAGCTATTCGATATTTCAAAGCAATAAATACTATATGAAATGCTCTATGAAAAACCGTATAACTTACATAAAATCTTTTCCTTATAATCTGAAAAAGATAATATATGCTCTTTTCAACTACACTAAAAAGAACCAAGGTTAATAGAGTTCTTTATTGGTTCTTTACCTCTGCTTAAGCAACATTAATATATTACACCAACAAAAGTTTTTCAGTATGTTTCTATTAAAATAATAAGAAAAGAAAGAAAACTTACTCGTATCTGCCTGGCTTCCCACACTGATGTATCTATCATTGCCAGGAAGTGCTGTTTGGTAGTAAGTTGCCTCCTCCTGCTGAGGGGTCTTAGCATTCTTCGCAGTAAGGAAAGCCACTGCTAATTCCAAGTTTCCATTACTATCCTTCAAATATCAAGAAAAGAGTATCAAGTGTTTTGAAATAACTTTATACAATATTCTCCATAACTAACACTCTAGAACAAAATTGCTTTAGATTTGCAATTAATCTATATGATTCTAATTATATAGTGTAAATGCATCATACATAAAGTATACTATATCAACAGTAATACCTTTTTTACTAATTAAAACTACTGATACAATGTAAAAATCCATCTCTAATTTCTTAGTCTTCATTACTTTCCTATCTGCTTAATAAGAGTCAATCGCAAACTTCTACTTTTGAACAAATAAACTAAAAAATGTCTTCTGGAACTCGTCATACGAAAGAGTGCAAAATGGGTATTTAAATTAGTACTTCTACAAACAAGGACAATAAAAGATATTCCTTTTAATCTGGGTGCTGGATACATACTTAGGGGCAAATTTCGGCAAAATGTCAAGGACTCACAGGAAGAAAATGGCAAAATGTACTGAAGGGCTTGACAATGTGGAACTATGGAAAGACACAGAATTCTGGACAGAAATACTCAACACTGTCAAGATGACAATCCTGCTCAAATTAAACATATACATTTTACACAGTTCTCATCAAAAGCATAGCCGAATAAAAGTATTCTAAAGTTCATTTTGAAGAAAGCAGATGCCAGAATAAGAATTTTTAAAACAGCAAAATGAGAAGAGACGTGCCCAGTTACAACTTTATATTCTCTGCACAACTGACAAGTAAAACGCTAGCACTAAGACAGTTAACTGAAACAACACAGGAAACCCAGATATTCATAACGAAGCTATCTTTGTAACAGAAAACCAGACCATTAGCCAGGCAAGGGGCTCACGCCTATAATCCCAGCACTTTGGGAGGCTGAGGTGAGCAGATCACAAAGTCAGGAGATCAAGACCATCCTGGCTAACACAGTGAAACCCCATCTCTACTAAAAATACAAAAAATTAGCTGGGTGTGGTGGCGGCGCCTGTAGTCCCAGAAACTCGGGAGGCTGAGGCAGGAGAATGGCGTGAACCCAGGAAGCAGAGCTTGCAGTGAGCTGAGATCGCGCCACTGCACTCCAGGCTGGGCGACAGAGCGAGACCCCATCTCAAAGAAAAAGAAAAAAGAAAACCAGAACATGAAAGGTTCTGTAGGTTCCCTAAGAACTCAGACATGCACATGGGTGTAATAAGAAGCCAGTGGAGTGTTTTGAAAAGCAATGACACAGTATGACTTACATTTTAAAGTGTTTACTCTGACTATATATTAAGAACAGACTACAGGAGAGAAAGGGCAGAAGAAAGCGTCCAATATTATTGCTTTCTTATTAAATGTGGGATATGACAGAAGTAGGATCAGGATGATTCCAAAATTTAAGGACCGAGCAGCTGGCAGAATAAAGTCCCCAAGACCTACCCCAATTCTAGCAGTTAGTGACGAGAGGGGTAAGGGTGCAGTTTCAAAAGCACCACAGCTTTCGAGTATGCTGTCATGATCATTAGACAATTCCTAAGTGACTCATCCAAAATGTAAGATACACTATTGTTAAATAAGTAATCTAATAACAAAATAAATCTCAATGATGGCTAACATTTATTGAGCACTTACTATATGCCAAGAAATGTGCTGTTTTTCATATATTACCTCACAAAATAATTTTAAAAAACAGCAGGAATTTACACAACTTGAAGTTCATTTACTTTTTAGAGCTAAAAACATGTTCTCAAATGAAAAGTACCAAAATTAATCAATGACGTTATGGTGCCCAAAAGTTGACTTCTTGTCAGTTATTTATAATGGCCAACAATTAAGGTTTAAATACACTCTTTTCCCCCAGCTACTGGCAACTGAAACAAAAATTTTGGAAAATTAAAAATACCTATGCTTCACACAACCTACATCAAAGGAAATGTGGATAAGACTTCATTCAAGCTATATATTTTCTAAGATTCAAAACAAACAAAAAAAAAGGCGAACTCCCCAATTTACCCTGGCAAGGTCATAGGCTATGGCCTCACACTTAGCAATACATAATGAAAAAGGCAGTTTCTGAAAACAAACATGGAATTTAGTAATGATATTTATCAGAATAAAAAGGGACTAGCAATTATCTAAATGTCATAATCTCTGCTTCCTCTCCAAATACTTACGGTGGCTTCATACACCCCGCATTAATGCTCTAAACACGACTATTTCATGATTTTCCTGATGGGAGAATAAAGTGAAGCAAAGCTTCTAGAAAAAGAAGCATAAATTAAGTGTGGCACCCTGGGATCAGGCTGCCTTGGTTTCTATTCCAAGCTTCTCCACATACAGGCTGTGTGATCTTGGGCAAGTTACTTTAACCTCTCTGTTGCTCATCTTTTCAAAAGGGGGATGAAACTAATACTTATCTCATAGAGTTATTATTAGGATGAGTTAGCCCACATAAAGTACTTAAAATACTGCCTGGTAGTACTAAATGTTTAAGCAGTACTACTTATTATTATAATGACTTTTATTATAATCATCTGATAGATTATTTCTAAAAATGAATAAAGAACTCTAGGCTTGAAATCGGGTTCCAAAGGATTGGAGCTGTGTATATAACTGCAATGGCAAAAATACTATATTGTTTTTAGCCTATAGTAGTAATATGCAAATAAGCTTAAACTACTGTACAGTTCTGTTTCTTAAATAGCTTTCATTCACTCTTTTTCAATGTGAGTATCCATATGATATGACTCATTTGGATGTCTGTGTGAAAATGAAGGTCCAACTAAGATATGACCAAAGTGACATATTTTAGTTGTTGCCTGTACTGAAGAGTTTGAAATTGAACGTTTAACTTAGGGTGTCATTAGCTGAATGGGTACAAATTTATATCTCTGCTTCTCGGGAGAAGAAAAATGTAAGCTTTCAGCCTTCTATTAATTTTCTACTTTTCCCTTCTTTTACACCTCATCCTCTAATACACCCCACCTTGCACCCTCATTTAAACTCTAAAATCATAGCTTGTAAGTAAAACCATCCATTTGAATTAGGATTCACATTCTACTATTTCGCACAAAAAGCATTTCATATACAGAAAGAGATTACCTGTCACTCTAAGGTATCATGGACATCAGACTGCTGAAAGCTAACATGCTCAAAACTGCAGTTCGTTAACTGAGGATTTTACTTTACAAAGTCCATTCCTGTATCTCTAAAACTACCACATGGTATAACCAAAAAAAAAAAAAAAAAAAAAACTTATCAAGTATAATACACACTAGAGATGAGCATATAGCACAAACTGTGTATCATAAAACAGAGGTCATACCTTCAAGGCTTGCTGTAGTATCTGGGTGTCATTAATCCCAGTGATTTCTCTCAGTTGATTCAAAAACGTTTGCTGGTGCTAGAGGGAGGAAAAAAACAAAATCATTATATTCTCAACTCTGAAAATATACTAGGAAAAGAAAACAAATGACCTCTGGTTTTCCAAAACAAACAAACAAAACAGAATAAACTAGAGTAAAAATGGAAAAAGAACTTGAGAAAGGCCAATTTCATTTTTTTTAGAAAGAATGAATTATGCTGTGGAGAACCCTTATTTCATTCTCATGTTTCAAAAAAGTATCTTCTCTAATTACTCTCCAATAAGTCTTATTTAATTAGTAGTTTCTGTCTTTTTCTTCAACCCCTCATTTATGCCATCTAACAAGCAAAGGAGTCTTACCCATGATGGTTAAGCACAAAGAGAGAAACATCTTTGGAAAAGACATGTTTTGGCAAGACATAACTCAGTGGGTAATTATACCATGGAGATCCTCAGATCTACTTTAAAAAGAGGATCATTTCACTGTGCAATCAGTCATAAAAGATTCTAAATTGAACAGATCATTTGCCCCCATTTGCTTCAGTTCTTTATATGCTATTGGCCTACATAACTGATTACATATTACATTGTATTGGAGGGGAAAAGATGTAGAGAGATAGGATTTCACTATCAAACTCTTGGAGGGCCCCTACATAAAAACCAACTTCCTCCTTATATCTCTGTATTTCTTAAAGTTCCCAACACTATAAAACAGTACCATGAAATAAATTAATCACAGTGGATATGATAGGGAAAGCAAACCTAGTCAACAGAATAGGATCTATTGAAATCTTTTTTAAAAAGATGTTTCACATTTATCTCAGTAATAATTCAGTCAGGAATCTTCAATGGATGCTAAAACTACTGAATGAAAAGTTTGATCATGAACAGAATATTTGCATCATTTAAAATTCTCTTCCACAAATTATAAAGGGAGGAAGAATGACTTTATTTTGTTAACAGCAGTGAATCCGTACAGGTCTCCAGCAAGGGGCATAAGGCAGAGAGAGAGACCAAGGCAAGTTTTTAGAGCAGGAGTGAAAGTCTGTTCAAAAGTTTTAGAGCAGGAATGAAAGGAAGTAAAGCACACTTGGAAGGGGGCCAAGCGGGCAACCTGAAAGATCCAGTGAACAGCTGACCTTTGACTTGGGGTTTTATACACTGGCATGCCTCCAGGGTTTGCATTTCTTCTCCCCTGATTCTTCCTATAGGGTGGCTGTCCACAGGCGCAGTGGCCTGCCAGCACTGGGGAGGGGCTGCACACACAGTGTTTACTGAAATTGTGCCCGTGCTCACTTAAGGCATTTTTCCCTTACCAGTTAGGTGTTCCTAAAGGAAGGTCGTATGTCAGTTAAACTCCACCGTTTTGCCTCGTAGTGCATATGTGCTTAAGCTCATTCACTCAAATCCTGGGATCTTATCAGGAAGCTGCTGATGACCAGTTTCAGGTGTTTCTATCTATTGGGAGACTGCCTTTCCCTGGTGCCCGCTGTGACCAATTATTATTTTAGACAGATGGTTAGTTAATAACAGCCTGACCACCACCTAATGGTTGCCTGACATTCCTGGGGGTAGGCCCTCTTCTGCCCTGCTCACGTCTGACTAGCTACCTACTGTAACAACAGTGCAAAACCTGACAGTCACCACCTTAACCAAGAGATCAAAGTTAATATTGCCAATCATGGGATACAACGGCAGTGTGTGCCTCCTGACACTCTATAATCTGTGATACAGCCCTGGCGAAAATGCACAACCTAAATCTCATCTTGAGGAAGCATCACACAAACGCAAACTGAAGGACACTATGAAAAATAATTATTCTATCATCTTCAAAAATGTCTATGCCATAAAAAACAGGTGGAGTCTCCACCCTAAAGGAGACTAAAGAAGTATGTCAGCCAAAGGGGGAGCTGATTGCATCCCATACCAAATGTTATGCAGGATATTGTTGAGACAACTGGAGAAATATAAATACACACAGCTTAGTAATGACATTTTATTAATATTAAATTCTTGAATTTGATAACTCCAGTATAGTAAGAGAGTATCTTTTTTATTAGGAAACATATCCCAAAGAATTTAATGGTAAAGGGGCATGATGCCTGCAACTTACTATCAAATGGTTTGGGGAGAAAAAAGTTATGGAAGTTCTGTGTACTAAGCCTTGCAACTTTAAATTTGAAATTTCAAAATAAAAAGTTTTAAAATGTCCTGCATTCAGCTTTGTTGACATCAAATTTTAAAATAAAATTTAAGATATTGCAGCCCAAATATCTTTTACAGAAATCATCTGTATTAGGTAGAAACTATATTCAGCTACACGTAACAGATTCCCAACTAAACAGCAGCTTCAATACTCTGGAGTGTCTTTCTTTTCTAACTTAGAAGACACAATGGGCAGTTCAGACCTAGTAAGGACACCCAACATCAAGTCTTCATGTGGACCATGCATCAGAATGTCTGTCACTGCATGGTCTCCTCCTCCGCCATCCTGTCCAAGTTCTAGGTAAGATAAAGAGAAGGGTCAAGGACAAAAGGTGTCTCCCAAATGAATGAGACTTCTTTAACAAGCCCCACCTACAAACTTCCACTTACACAAGCCTCACAAAGCACACACATTCGCATGGCCACTCATGGCTGCAAAGGAGATTGGGAAATGAATTTTTCGGGTGGGCAAAGGCTGCTGTGAAAATGAAATCAAGGTTCTGTTATCAAAGAGAAAAGATGTTCATTGGATAGGCATTGGCAGTGTCTGCCACGCCATCAAGGAATTTTCACTTCCATAAAATTTTTTTACAGAGCTGCGATAACCAAGATTATCCAACAATACAATACATAATAAAGTACACAAACAAAGTCATATAAAATGTCAGGAAGCTATCAAAATGGATGAATAAAAGAACTGCCAAATTTACAAAGCTGAAAGGAGAAAAATAAAATTATCTTAAACCTATCAGTTTTTATACCGTAAACCAAAAATAAAATTTGAAGCTTCAAGGCACTCTAAAATTTAACCCGAAAGACTGGTTCGGGCCATGACTGGAAGTGGGGGGTGGACATGCCTCATTATACCGCTCCAGCATTAACATAAACACAGACCTTAAGTCTGGTAAGAAACATTTTCAATCTATTCTCTCTAGAGCCTGCAACTTGAAGGCTTCATTTACATGATAAAACCCAGATCTCCAAAACCCCTTATCTTAACCCAGACATTCCTTTCTATTGATAATAACTCAACCAATTGCCAATCAGAATATGTTCAAATCTACTAATGACCTGGAAGCCACCCTGGGACCAGACTTGTCCCTCACTTCCAGACTAAACCAATGTGAATCTTACACGAATTGACCGATACATTACGTCTCCTTAAAATGTCTAAAAGCAAGCTGTACCCCAACCACCTTGGACACACGTTGTCAGGACCTCCTGAGGCTGTGTCACGGGTGCGTACTTAACCCTGCCAAAATAAACTTTCTAAATTGATTGAGACTTGTCTTAAGATACTTTTTGGTTTATACTACTTTCATTTAGAAAATTACCAATAAATAGCAATGGAATCATGACTAAGCTCTGCAGTACCCAACATTATGAATTAAAGGCATAAAACTTTTACAGAAATTACCTTCATTCAATTCAGTGTCTTCATTTAGTTAATATAAAATTCTTTATAATTTTTTTTAAGTCTGTAATCTCACTGCTACCAGCACTCCAAATCTGATTTCATACATAAAGTATTTTCCTCAACTGAAAATTATTCAACCATGGCTCAGAAAAAAATTACCGAGTACCCAAGGAAATTAGTCATTTGTACAAGTGTTGATGGCCATTAATTACAAAAATTAAAAAATGGCTGTCCCCACCCAAATCTCATATTGAGTTGTAGCTCCCATAATCCTCATGTGTCATGGGAGGGACCTGGTAGAAGGTAATTGAATCATGGGAGCGGGTTTTTCCCATGCTGTTCTTGTGACAGTAAGTGTTGTGAGATCTGACGGTTTTGTAAAGGAAAGTTCCCCTGCACATGCTCTCTTGCCTGCCACCATGTAAGATGCGCTACTGCTTCTCCTTTCCCTCCTGCCATGATTGTCAGGCCTCTGACAATGTGGAATTGTGAGTCCATGAAACATTTTTTTCTTTATAAACTACCCAGTCTCAGGTATGTCTTCATTAGTTGCATGAGAACAGACTGATACACTGGGTAATTTATAAAGGAAAGAGGTTTAATGGAATCATGGTTCCACATGGCTGAGGCCTCACAATCATGGCTGAAGGTGAAGGAGGAGCAAGGGCACATCTTACGTGGGGGCAGGCAAGAGAGCATCTTCAGGGGAACTGCTCTTTATAAAATCAACAGATCTTGTGACACTTATTCACTATCATGAGAACAGGATGGGGGAACTGCCCCCATGATTCAGTTATTTCCATCTGGTCTCTCCCACGAAACATGTGGATTATGGGAACTACAATTTAAGATGAGATTTGGGTGGGGACCCAAAGCCTAACCATATCATCCCATCTCGGGTATGTCCTTACAGCAATGTGAGAACAGACTAATACGAACACACATCCTTCCACTAAGAAAGCAGTTCTCAAACTTTAATGTACAGAAGGATGACTCCATGAGTTTGTTAATAATGAAGATGTCCAGGCCTCATCCCCAGAGATTGATTCTAGAGGGTCTGGGTTGAGGTCTAAGGATCTGCATTTCAATAAGCACTTCAAATGATTCTGATGCAGATCAACTTAGAAGCAGAGTCTGAGTTAAACATACAACTATTGTTTTTAAGTGAAAAATATATAATCTATTCAGAAGTTTTCCTTACAAAATCATATTAAGCTAAAGCAGAATACAAAATAGTATATATACAAATTAACGACTACAAGGTAAAATACAAACACAAATATAAATCCCAGAAAAGATTACACTGCCTATGCTAGACTCCCAATTCTCCCATCCCCGTATCCATACTCTTTGCCACTTTTTACTTCCTCCCACATGATGTATTCCCTTTTGTCATGGATGATGGGATTTGATCAAT